GATCCTCCTGCCTCAGCTTCCTGAGCTACTGGGATTACAGGCATGCATCACCACACCCAGTGGGACTTTCGGTTTTAAAGTTAAACCAGGACAGGTTGGTCACTGTGGATGGGGATGGCAGACATGTGTGAATTGCATCTTTCGGAGCGGCTGCCTATTTTAAGCACTGAGGGGTTTTTAAATTTCCCTGGCGTCCTTTGGGTCATCTCCAGCCTCTGTCTTCAAGGACAAAGGCTGAGTATCAGGCAGATGAGGGTGGAGCAAGCGAAGGCCTTGAGGTCCCTCTGCACCAACCCCCAACCCACTACACTGCACAGCTCTGTCCAGCACACAGAGGTCTCATCTTCTGGGCCCTTAGTATCAACTAAGTGGGGAATGTAGGACTGAGCGATGGCAGCAGGGCTGGTCACCACCTAACAGCCAGCTTCATTAATGGAACTTGATTTTGTTCAGACAATGGGTAACTGAAGTGTCCAGACCCTGGAGCTGAGTTGTGACAATTGCTTCCCTTATCGCTCATAATTGGTTTAGGGTGGGTGAGCAACCTGGGTCTGGCCGAAGAAGTGTCAAACGTAAAACTGTTGGAAAACTTCTAGAAAGGAGTTTCCTCTCTGATTAAAAAAAAAATAAAATGGCTTTCAAAGAAAGGTCTGCCACTGCTTTCCTTCTCTGGCAGTGGTGGAACAGCAGCACAATTTGGAAGCTTTTGTAGCCATCATGTGGTCCTGAGACAAGGGGGATAGGAAAGAGAGAAATGCAACCCACAGCACCGTCATTATTGAGTCACTGAATCAGACATCCACTTTGGATGCCTTGTTAGATGGGGAGGAAAAAAAACCCACTTCTTTATAAAGTCAGTGTCATGGGTATCCTGTGGCTTAGAACAAAAGCTCTCAATAAATTATAAGGTTTTCAACCCTGTAGCAGAGAAGACTGTGAGAGGACACGTAGACTATTGCCTAGTCTCTAGATAGGACACCTAACCCAACCTGGACAGATGTGCACCTGAGCCCCACAAGACAGGAAATCCATAAGCCTCCAGGCCCTTCCTCCAGCACTACCTGGTCAGGACTCACCTGGAGCTGGAGGGCCATGGGGCCACCCACTAAAGGACCTTCCAGGAAAGGGGAAACACCCCATTACTCCAAGTTCCTTCCTTTGGAGTGGGGTGGTGGTCAAGAGAGCACTCTGGAATCTTCACTAGGGACATCTAGACAAGTAACTTAACCTCTCTGTGTCCTGATTTCATCTTCTGTCCTGGGGGTAACAGTGCCTAACTCACATAGCTATTGTGAGGACAACCCCTTAGCACAGGTCAAATGCATCTGACTCTGTGTTGTGGGTCCCAAGAGTAACTGCAGGGTCTACGACTTGCTAAAAGTTGCAGAGCTAAGAAAAGCTGTCGTGCTGGTGGTTACAGTCTACGACAGCTGGAGGACCCAGATTAAGGTCAGGAAAGGTACATAGGACAGTCAAGGAGAGACAAGGCCCGCTTCTGGTTGCCCTCTCCCACTGTTTGTATGGATGACACTTAACTTCCCAGCAATGTGTTAAATATTGTCAACCAGAGCAGCTCCTCTGAGTACTGGTGTCCGGGGTTTTTATAGGTGTTTTATCACATAGGCATGGAGTGCCTGCGTGGCTGACCTTAGTTATTCAGTCTGCAGCTCCTCCAGAGGTCAAACTGATATAGCATGACCCAGGGACCTCACCATAAATCACATTGTTAGCATTAACTATCTGGTGTAGACCAAGGCCCCAGGGAAACAAAGATACTCCCATCAGGCAGTATATTGCAAGGGTTTAGAGGGTATCACCTAGGAGTCTTTGAAATGTGTATGGTTTTCTAAGATGTTCTCATCCCAAATCTGCTAAGGCAACCCATCTGGGGCCCTGAGATATAATAGGCATCCAATGCCATTTTTGTTTCTTACATGAGGCTGAGGTATGCCTCCTGCAAGCACCTGTCCTTTGTCACTAGGGCTGCCCTGTTGAATCAGCTCACCTAACCCTTTTTCTCTTGGCTGAGGGTGAGCCCTTATTTCCCCTTCCTCTTTTATGATGGAGGGACCTGCATTCAAGCTGCTGCCTCTCCCCCCGCCCCCACCTACTCCTCTCCAGGGAAGGGGAGGGACCTTCTGATTGGTGGGTTTGGAGTCAGATCTGCACTCACCTGGCATA